CTGAATGCTCCTGTGGTCGTTACTTGCGGTGATACCCAGAACTAATTTGTAAGAACAATAGGCAAGAAAGGGGAAATTCACTCTGACCATTTTGTCCTTGAAATTACGGGCACAAAGTTAATAACATAGCTAAAACCCTAATTAATGTTATTTTTAATCTTCTTTTTGAAACAGAATTGCTCACATCTCGGGTGTAATCTTCTGAATGCAATCCCATAAAAGCCTTTGCCCACATAGCCCGTTTTGGGAACCAGAGCACCTGAACACATCCTTGTTTGTTGTCCTGTTCAATCAACTTTATGAACTAGCAGCTTTGCCTGAGCAGCCATGCCTCGGGCATGTTTCCTCATGCTCTGTGCACTGACTCAGTAGCCTGCACTTTGCTATCAATCTAACCTTCCCTTTTCTTTCTTCAAAGCCCTTGAAGGCAAAAACCAATTTTCTGGTAATAGTTCTGCTTTTTTATGGATGGAGAAAATATTCTATTTATTTGTGGATATTTACATTTACCTTTCATGTCCTTTTCCTTTTCTTGTTAGCTAAAAACCTATTGCAAGCATTTCTTTTTCCCTTGCTGGATTTTTCCACATAATTAGTGAGAAATGGCAATTGCAGTGTTCACCATGTACTTGTGCTGTGGACAAATCACATTCAAACACTGTGAAAAATGTAGTGTCATTTCCCACCAAACTTAATGAACAATATCGTGTCACCTACTGAGTTGCAATCTGTAAAGCACTGGCTGCTCAGGAGTTGATGCAGAATGGTAATCTAGTGGCTGATGTTCTCTGTTTACTTACAAAGCCTAAGTAACATAAATTTGTAGTCCACAAGATTATGTATAAGATATAATTTTTACTTCAAAGAGCTCTTTCTGGAGGGACTGTCATGGTTTTGGTCTGTCTGAAAAACTGTCTATCAAACAGCCTCAGAAGTAAGGGTCATGCAGGGCAAATATGCAGGCTAACTATAGCCAGCTATCTCAGGTACTGGTAGCAGGATAGCCATGATGCTCATCTTGTGCTGCCCATTTGCCCTTTGTCCCAGCCTGCTGGTTGAATCTGGCAGCTTTTGGAGTGCGGATAAATTCCCACTAATAGTGGAACTAGGATCAGAAATCTAGTCATTCTATAATTACTTCAGCTTGAGAGGACTGAAATAAATGGGCTTCTTGATGGATAAAAAGTCCTCAACCCCTTCAGCTAAGCCTTCCAGTGAACCCACTTAGATTTTTGTTGAGATGAAGCAGAGAAACACTCACTGCCCTGTTCACTGTCTCCCCAAACCAACTAGGTAAAGCTGAGAACTCAAAAGAAAGGAAGGTCATTAAGTACCCTGCAAAATCCTGGTCCCTTCACTGATTATAGAGCCCCTTAAACAAAACAACGCGTCACTGCTGCTACACCATGCAACAGACCGTCATCTAGTTGGTATGCAAGGGCAGATGCTGCATAGTTGGAACAAAACAGGATGTAAAGGTGAAAAAAATAATTCTCCGTCATTTACTGAGAATTTGTCTGTTTGACAACCCTAATAACCATAATTTAATAAATGATTCAATATCTTATTTTAGAGGGGACAGTAAAAGGTCAGTTTTTCACTGTTAAGAGAATGAGACTTGTATTCCAGGTGTCCCGGGTGCTGTATATGTACTATGTGTAACACTCTGGGGATAAAATCTGAGTTTAACTCTCCTGGCCTGTTTCTGACTCAGGAATTCCTGAGTAAAAAGGCCTGATCCCATGGTCCTTCAAAACCGAGGAAATTACTCCAGTGGACTTCCATCTAATACAAGTAACACTCTATCTTCAGCCTCTGTTGAAGTCAATGAAACAGCTCGATATTTACCTGGGTATAGCAGAATAGGAAATTGTCCTAGTTAGAACAGCTGGGGCCAGTTCATCGCTGTGTGGGTGTAACCCAAACTGTGTATTCTACACCCTCCATGCCATTTCCTAGAAACTGTTAACAATAGACCATTTGCAGCAGCTGCCCAGAGCACACTTGGCCCCGCAAGCTATAAGCTGGCTGTTAAGAGGTCTGTGAGATAGGAGGATGCTCTTGTCCTCATACCCATGACTTACAATCACCCATTGTGGTGGGTGATTGCCCTGGGGGAGGCACTGGGCATTCCTGCCTGAACCTCAGTGTATATAATCTTGGGGTCTTGGGACTTCTGGTACCACTTGTGGGATCCAGAGGAGGACTAGAACCTCGACCAGACTGCGACCACCACTCTCAACCAGACTGCGACCATCACTTGCACCAACAGGTTTTTCCTCTCCTTTTACTTTTGGATTCAGGGGACCACGTGGGGCTCAGCACAGGGGCCAATGAACAACAACATTTTGTTCGTGCCCCAGGGTGCCAGGTTATACAGCTGAGTTTTGTGGGTTAAACCAATTGTTTGTCCATGTAATTGTGTTTATGGTATTATTTTTATTAAATTGTAACTCTGAATTATAATCTCTTTGGAGTTGGATTCATTTCTCCTGCCAGTTTACCTTTAAACAAGCACAGAAACCCAGCAGATTATTTCTGCAACAAACCTCAGTTTGGAACTCTGCAAACTCTCATCCTGGTCATAGGAGAAGACCATTGCCATGTGNTGCCCAGAACACACTTGGCCCCGCAAGCTATAAGCTGGCTGTTAAGAGGCCTGTGAGATAGGAGGATGCTCCTGTCCTCATACCCATGACTTACAATCACCCATTGTGGTGGGTGATTGCCCTGGGGGAGGCACTGGGCATTCCTGCCTGAACCTGAGTGTATATAATCTTGGGGTCTTGGGACTTCTGGTACCACTTGTGGGATCCAGAGGAGGACTAGAACCTCGACCAGACTGCAACCACCACTCTCAACCAGACTGCGACCATCACTTGCACCAACCGGTTTTTCCTCTCCTTTTACTTTTGGATTCAGGGGACCACATGGGGCTCAGCACAGGGGCCAATGAACAACAACATTTTGTTCGTGCCCCAGGGTGCCAGGTTATACAGCTGGGTTTTGTGGGTTAAACCAATTGTTTGTCCATGTAATTGTATTTATGGTATTATTTTTATTAAATTGTAACTCTGAATTATAATCGCTTTGGAGTTGGATTCATTTCTCCTGCCGGTTTACCTTTAAACCAGCACAGAAACCCAGCAGATTATTTCTGCAACAAACCTCAGTTTGGAACTCTGCAAACTCTCATCCTGGTCATAGGAGAAGACCATTGCCATGTGCTTAGAAATCAGTACAACAGAGCTTGCTTTCTACTCATGCTTTTCATTGTAAGTCAACTATAATATTTAACAGTTTTCAGCCAAAGAAATCTTTCACGCCTTTATTGAAGAGGCCATTTCAACAATGCCTTGTTAGGTTACATGGAAGAGCATAGGAAACCAACTGCTATTTGTTTTAAATGAAATCAGAATCAGTACCCTTTTAAACAAATGTTTTTCCTGGCAGTGTCAAAGTTCATGGATTTCATGGGACATGCTGTACTTCTAAGTATGGGGTGGGAACCCACGTGCGATATTGGACATACTGGCCCCTTTTCTTGTTCCAGTTTCCTATGTAACTGAGAATTATAGTTGGGAAAAACAGGGCTGGATGGCTCCTTACAGGTCACCTACTAATCCTTTTATGCAAGGAAAAATGAACTGTAACTATGCCATCCCTGAAACATGTATATCCAATATGTTCTTAAGGACAATGGGGATGAGCAGGTCTCAGCTGACTCCTCACCTGCTCTGAGCTGGTTCTGAGTATCTTCCACAGGTTTCCTGCTGGCCCACCTTCAGTTTATTCACTCATGAGATGATTTTTGTATTTTTGAATGAATTTGACTTCTCTTCATCCCATGCTTCTCTCTAGCTTTATCCTTTCCTAAGCAGTGCTTCATCTTCCTGTTTGTATGTTGTGTCTGTAAATGGGAATTATGGATGTATAGAAGTATAAATATTATGCTAAGGAAAAACAGAAATATTTTTCTGATTCTGAGTTGTTGTGGGTTTTTTGTTTTGGGGGGTTTTTGTTTGGTTTTGTGTTTGTTTGTTTTTTCTTCCTTTTTCTCTTTCTCTCTTCTTGTTGTCTTTGTTGAAATGTGTTTCAACACGGGAGGTTGGGAAAAAAGAGCAGCACTTTTCATCTTGGTTTGGCTAACTCATAGCAAGTTCCTAGCTGTACTAATTCAAAGCCATTATCACGCTTTTTGGGTTGCCTGGATAATACAAGTTAGCTGGGTGCATTGTGACTGGATGCATCAACTATCATGGCCTCCCATGGTAGGAGAAACACGGAAAGTGACTTACCTTTTTACTCAGATATAAGCCTGGTCCAGCCACTCTGATTTTGAAATAAGAAGAGAAAGTGTCACTTGGGGCTGGTTCAATGGATTAATAAAGGATTTTAGCATTTGTAGCTAAAATTGAACATGATCAAATTGCACCAGATTTATGAAGACATGCAAATCCAGAGGAAAAAGTATTATTTATAGGAGAGTATCACAGATGGAACAGGTTAACCATGGCCACATCTTTTTAAAATTCAGTAGCAGATCTACATTTCAAGGGGTAGTTCCTTTCTGTTTTCTCTCAGCTTAATTTCAGCAGGCCTAAATTCCTGTTTACAGACTGATTTGCACATATGGATTATCTGGCAGAACAGGCCTGAATATCAGATTTCTGTAGCTGGTTGCCATAATTCACAGCATATTTGAAGCTGTAAAATTTTGCACCAGAGGGAAAATAGAGAAGAAAAATGGGAAGCAGGAGAAATTATGCCAAGGTTGTTTCAAGATCGTTAAAGTCATGGAATGAAGATTCATTGATTTCTATAGCTTTTGGTTTGGGCCCATATGAGACAATTTATGAGAGCACCAGGGCATTGGGGTGAGTTTGTCTCTGCAGTTTATTACAGGGAGTGGGATTACAGCAAGAGTGACTTTAGTGGAGTTATCAATCTCTCAAAAAACTCCTCAACATGCTTCCCCTTCCCTCCTTCTATTTTGCTGTTCTTCCTTAGCACCTTGATTTTGTAGCATGTGGAGTAAGAGGCAGATGCCTTTCAGGTGAGACTGGGTTGTGGTATTGAAGACTTATCTGATTAATGTGCTATGGGAAAGGAGGGTAGGTCAGGGGAGGAGAGGTGACTTCAGGGAAAGTTTACTTAAGGGTCCTCTGCTTGAGAGCTGCAGGCATCACCAACTTCTCCCAGTGTTCCCTGCACCTGTGAAAAAGTAGAAAAGAGAATTTCTCCAGGCCTTTTGGATATATGAGTATTGCTAATCCCTTGAGAAATAAAACTCCCCAGATGCCTCCCTAGCTTCTTTTGCAAGACAGTAGAAGACAAGACACAATCGACCAGCATTCAGGGTAGGACTCAGTTTGAAATTACGAAACCTCAGTGTAGGAGATTGAGAGCTGCAGTGCCAAGCATCCCACCGCAGGTAACAGCATCCCAGCTGAGATATCCCTGGGCTGAAGAGAGCTGCTTGGTGGTCAGGCACTAGAGACTTGCATGCCTGGTTGGCTGGCAGCACACAGTGTCGTTTAAGTTGCCTGGCCTCCAGCAGGCCATGGTCCCTTGTAGGTCATGGGGAATGCTGCCAGCCATGAGTGGATGTCTTGGGTGTCTCATGGCATCCCAAAGAGCACTAAATCCTTGTGTGTGGAGAACTGAGCCAAAGAGTAGGCAAATATGTCAGGGTGAACTGAATTATTCTCTGGGGTTGGCCAGCTGTGCTTCCTCAGAGTTCAATCCAGTTTTCTGCATATAGGAGCCTAGTGCTGATCAAGATGTCCAAGACATCCATGTGGGCTGATACACATGCTACAGGAACCCATAGGAGATTAATGACCTGTGTAGCAGCACTTTGGGACCAGATATGTCAGACAGCACTTAACACCTAATCTGAATGGAGTTCTACATCTCTGCTGACCGCAGTGGGCCCTCAGTGCCCAAGTCACATGTAGACTTCTCTCAGCATATGCCTAAATGTACATGTATACTCTGCAGCTGCTGCCTACTCTGGGTTAGCTACTCTTATCTCCTTTGCTAACCATACCTTGAGATAGAGGCATCAGCTGATAAACCCAAAAGGCATTTTCACTAATTAAACACTGTTACAATGGTAGAGTACATCCTTACATTTGAAGAAATGAGGCCAAAATAATGGAGTATAGACCAGAACTTTTAATCTCTGCTTGGGCAAAATAACGTTCAGAGTTGTTGGCAGTGCTGGTGAGGAGCATTATTTCACATGGAATAATTATTTAATACTGTTTAATCGTGCTAAGATATTGCAGTAATTTCCCAGGAATTAATCTCTAATCACAGAGAATGATAAATTGACTGATATCTATTGATTTGTTTATGACAGTAGTTAAAAAGTAGAAGTTATCGAAGCACTGTTTTGAGCAACATGACTTCACTGATTATATATTTCATCTATCTTGCTGGGTTGATTTCCCTCTATGTTATTAACCCTGAAACTTGGCTTCTTCTAACAAAGAATTATTTCTAAATCCAGTATTTCCATTATGCAGTTAATTCCATCTGTAACATGTGCTGGTTACAGCTGAAAAGTCAGTGTTGGCAACATGGTGTTATGGGAAGTGCCAAATATAGGAGGTGAGGTACCCCAAAATGCTGACTTTTAGACAGGTGAAGTTATGTGACGTGAATACCTCTGAAGTCTGAAATCTGTAGGAACATTTGCAACAGCTCTGGAGCCTTTTGACCTGTACTTAGAAAATTGCTGCATCTGCTGTGATTTTGAATAAAGGCCTACTGTCATTTAAATTGAGGCTTCAGTAATAGGACTGATGTTTAAAATTGTCTTAATGAATTGAAAGAGCTGGAAAGACATTTAAAGTTCTATGTCCTTCTATCTGTGCACTGAGTGGTTTGGTTACTAATTTCTACATAGTGTAGCAGGTTACTCAGCCTATTATCCTACTCATTTCATCTAGAGCAGAATTCAAGACTGACAAGTACCACTGTGCATAATATTAGCAATCACTGCCACTCTTTCTGCAGTTGTCTTAACTTTGCTTCGTTGCTTGTAACAATATCTTGTATTCAAGGACTTTAAATGAAATTATCATAGTTCTAAAAGTGCTAGTGGAGAGGTTTGTTTGGACTTCAGCACCTCTGGAGACTGTTTAACAGCGAAAACAGTTTGACAAAATGCAGAAAACCTGCAATTTTTTCTTATATCTCAACTCTCCTCTGAGCATGATTCCAACATTTATTTTCCATTTCAATGGTGCAATGGATTGTATTTTGATCATCGTCTCTGATATTAGAGTGCGGTTTGAATCTCCTAAAAGGACCTTGATTTTCAGTCGTATGAGCCTACAGCTTCTCTTTGATGACACCAAGAACCTTGATTTTCCACTTTGGGTTCCATTTTACAAATCCAGAGTTATTGTTTTAAATAATAAGAACTACGTAACAAAACTACTAATAAATGGGCAATTGTTACCAACTGTGTCCTACATTTCATTATGGTTACGAAGAATTTGAGGAGCCATTGGAATAATCAAATACTCAAATGCAGATCTTGGCCAGCGTCCTTCAAAGCTGACAAATCACTTGACACATCTTATTTCCTAAGTACACATCTTGAGTCCTTGACAAAAATTGTTGGATTTAACAAACATGCCAACTCCTAACCCCTAAAAATCAATTCCTTTCATTCAGTTGAACTAAAACTCCAGAAACATTGACCATTAAATGTACTGATCTTATGTTTAGGAGGAAAAAAGCATGCTCCTTCTTTCCCAAGCTATTTTTTCAATTAATCAGATTAATGAGAAATCTTGACTTAGATAGAGATTTTCTATACAAGTTTTCTTTTGACCTTGAATATTAAACTTGGCTCTCATAAGCAACACCAGTAAGAATTTAAATATACATACTTGGGATTTCAAGGTTTGTTTTTATATTTGTCCCCTTTATCTGACGTGAAGAAGCTGGTAATTGCAGAATTATTTCTCAGCTTCTTTTCAGTGAATATGTAAAATTCTACCCATGGCAGAGAATGATTTCCCTTTTGATTGGTATGTTTGCAGTATTTTTTGCCCACTTTCCTCTCACATCTCAATTCTAGTGACAAACCCACAGTTATGATCAACAACAAAAGTAATTCAGTTTTCCAAACGTCTGAAAGAAGTCTGATTATCTCAAAACAGAGGCAACAGGATGATTGTGTTTACAAACTGTGTGTTATTAATATCAGAGAATAGAGTTGTGATATGAAGTTGATTAAGGCTGCTTGTGATACAATCTCATATCCAAAGCTTAAGATTTTCTTTAATGAGATGAAGAAGAAACCCACCTATGACTCCAAAAACTATCTCTTACACAGAAGGGCATATAGCTTATTATTTAGCCTTGTTATTTGGATGTGCAAGTCTGAGAGCTCCATCAGACACTGCTTCTTTTCAAGGCCTCTTTTTCTTTCCCTATTGCTGCTAGTAGCTGATGGGAACTTCACCTTTCCGATGGCAGGCTCAGTTTTGGTGAGAGAGCTTTTTTCTCCTTTGATTATAGGCCAGCCCCAGACAGCTCAAGACTTGGCCAGCTTGCTGCATATCTCAAAGCCTGTAGATAGGTACTACTCCTATAACACTGAAAGCTTCAGCATTCCCATCATATGCCATTCCCTTGCATACCTGAGGTAATGGCTGATGGGCCTATTTGGTGCAGAACAGCTTGCAGGAGAGAGCAGATGCGGCAATGTTCTTGCCCTCAGGAATGAATAGACTCTGCTGTCTACCGAGTGAACAGAAATTGAAAGGGTTGATCAGATTTGGAAGATTTTGAGATACTTTATGGGCCAGTAGGCAAAAGCAGGCCACTATCTCTACTTGAGCTTTCCTGCTTTATCCCACTGCCCTATAACCCATCCTGGAATAAAAGTGACAATGCAGGAACAGTCAGTCACAAACAACTACTCACAGATTAGACTTCCATCAGAGAAGTCAAGAAGAATTTGTCTGATATTTGGAGTAGGAAGCTCTGTGCCATCTGCAAATGAGATCCTGTATCCAGTTTCAGGTCAAGTTTCTCAAGCTGGCCCTGAGATACTAAGGTCACCAGAACTAGCTTTTTAAAATGTGAACATTAATCCCAAATGCTTCACACTGAGATCAGAGTATGCGCAATTGAGATTCAATGGAAGAGACATAAATATTAAGAGATTAGGAGAAGACTTAGTGGATTTGTCTGCTGTTACTCAGAGTGCATCACTTAAGTGGACCTAAAGTTTCAGCTTACTTATGGAATTTGCATCGTGATGTGAATGAAGAGGTCACAGAAACTGTCAGACTTTTCAATGAGCACATCCCTTGGAAGCACATGTTCAGGAATTGATTCATTGACTCACTGGATTAAATCATGTTTTAAGCATTAAACTGGCAGGTGCTAAGCAATTAAAGGATATGCCTAAGTGCTGATATAAAGAATATAGTCAACATTTTTTAGAAAGTGTACCATTACAGCATACTTTGTGACAGGTTTCAGTCTCTTACACATCATGAATTATTAGCAACTTTGACAGCATAGCAAGGCTTTGATCAAGTCAGTCCAGGGCTTCAATGTTTCCCCAAAATGGCAGACAGGAATTCCTGGAGAAAAATTGGGCCTCCCTGCTTTGGGCCAAAGTCAGGAGGAGTGTAATTACCATTCCCACATAATTTTCAACAATTTTCTATTTGTAACTAGGATTCTTCTTTTTTTTTTTTTAATTCCAAGGAGTCAGTACCACAAAGAGAGAATAAGTTGTTTATACAGATACCTTTTGTACAGGCTGATTGGGAGCCAGACACCAGCTGCCAAAGTCAGTGCAAAGCCTCCCACTGAGCCTGATGTCCTGCACTGGCGCACAACAACAAGCCCTAGCACTGTGTGGGGCGATGACAGCTTTGCTATCAGGCACCCACCAGAGTGCAGCTTTTTTGTTATCAGAGACTCTGGTTGTGGGGATGAACTTCCTCAGCTCAACACATCCTGACAGCATCTTGACAAGATACTGGGTCTGTCTGCATGTTAGGTTCAAAATATGTTTTTTCTACTAATTTTCACCATTTTTGTCAGTAATTGTGCCTCTTCCCTTCTCTCCCCTGACATTTCTTTGGTGAAATAAAAGGTTCTGTAGCTGTCTGTTTGAAGAAAACCCCCTCCCCGCTTCTGAAGACAAGCAGACAGTACTTTTGGTATAA